GTGTGTGTGTGTGTGTGTGTGTGTGTGTGTGTGTGTGTGTGTGTCTGTGTGTGTGTGTGTGTGTGAGAGAGAGAGAGAGAGAGAGAGAGAGAGAGGCAACCAGAAGAGGGAAAAGTTCAGGCATCACAGAAAACAGAATATCGGAGTCATGTCTATGTAGCTGTTGCCTTGCTATGGATTCATCCCACTATCATGATTGTATGCAACACGCATGGTTAACAGGGGGTGTTTTTTGCCGAATTTTGCGCTGAAACTGTCATATTGGCAAAGAATCTTTGCTTTGTTTTTTTGTTTTTCTTTTTGTGTGATATGTTGGTGCTTTAGGGTACGTCGTGTTGTAACTTGTAAGTTTTGGCATTTTGCCATGATTTTGGGACGAACACGGTCTAACAGAGAAAATGTTAGCATTTCGTTGAAATCGTTGAACACTTATTTTCACTGGGAAAGTGTTCTCGTGTTAGGGTTCTATAGTGTTTTGGTGTGTTTTTTTTTCCAATGTTTGTACTATGGGCCCATATCGTTTGTTTCCAGACTTATCCACTATGTTCCTTGTGGCGGTGTGGTGAAAACGGTGAATTTTTTGGCCCTCAGTTAACCATCTCTCGCTCATACTGATGTTTGTATGTGTGCATGTGTGTGTATGTGTGTGCGTTTGTGCATGTATGCATGTGAAGGTGTGTGTGTGTGTGTGTGTGTGTGTGTGTGTGTGTGTATGCCTGTGTGCGTGTGTGTGTGTATGTGGATGTGTGTGTGCAAGTAATGGAGAGAAAGAGAGGGAGGAAGGGAGGATGGTAGAAAGTGAAATAAAAATCATCACGGTATATAGGCCCTCCCCTTCCTGCGCTCCCGTCCTCCAACCCCACCTGCTCGCTGCTTTCAGCCTAATACCTCTCCACGTCCTTGTCCAGCCTTCCCTGCTACTCGCTGCAAGGAGGGAACCCATTGGCAACCAAAAACTCCCAGGAATTGGACAGGTGGAGATCCCTCCTTACCGTTGTTCACCTCTGGTAGAAATTGGTGTTCTCCCCACTTCACCGTGTGTTCCATCCTCGTCCTACTAGAAACAAGGGTCATTACAGCTGTTATGACCCGAGTTTATGGATTCAATGTCAAATTTTAGACAAATGCATGATCCACAAAAAGAGAAAGCACAAAAAAGCAAGGACAGAAGAAGAAGAAGAAAAAGAAGAAGAAGAAGAATGGACGGAAGGAAGTGTGGGTGAGTACTTATGATGTATCCTGTTATTCTGACTTGCCAGTGGAATAGGAACCGGACTGACGCTCCCCAGAATAGAAGGAGCCAGGACCATAAGGCCCTGTTTTGAGTACTTATGATGTATCCTGTTATTCTGACTTGCCAGTGGAATAGGAACCGGACTGACGCTCCCCAGAATAGAAGGAGCCAGGACCATAAGGCCCTGTTTGTCAA